ACCCCCCACTTCTCCTGGGGCCATGTCAGCAATCTAGGCCAGTGAGGACTTGGGGGTCCTTCATAAGGCACATATTCCACTAGACCTGGAGGAAGACTTAGAGATCATCTAGTCTAAATTCCCCAGGGTACACAAGAGGGACTCTGAGTTCAGTGGTTGAGCCTTTGTCTGAAATAACAGCTCAAAGAATCGGAGAGTTCACTGATTTGAAAGTCCAGTCGGAAGAGCTGGGCCAACCCTGTGATTTTCCCTGCAGCAGTGTGAGGATCAGTGAGGTGGGGTGTCTTTGGAAGTATTGAAAAAGTGTTACCATTGTAGATGCTATTACTTCCATGAGCACCTGGCGTTGCTTATTGTATTAGGGTTCTCCAGAAAAATGGAACCCATAGGGTGTATGTGTGTGTGCGTGTGTGTGTGTGTGTTGAGACAGACAGATTGAGAGACTTATTTTAAGAAATTGGCTCATGTGATTATAAGGGCTGGCAAGTCTGAAATTTGTGGGGCAGGCCAGCAGGCTGGAAACTTGGGCAGGATTTCTATGTCACGGTCTTGAGGCAGAATTCCATCTCCCCTAGGAAACCTCAGTTTTTGATGGTTCGGATGAGACACATCCACATGACAGAGCATAATCTCTTTTATTTAAAGACAATTGATTGCAAATGTTAATCACATCTATAAAATACCTTCACAGCAACATCTGGACTCAAGTTTGACCAGACAGGGGGCACATAGCCTTGCCAAGTGACACATAAAATGAGCCACCACATGGGCCCTCTCAGCACGGAGGTGGCCAGTCCAGTCCTAGGAGGTCTGGTGATCTCTGGAGCCTTGTCCCTAAGGGTCCAGCACACTGTGTGATAGGCGAACAGCAAAGGAAATGGCTCTGTGCGAGAGGGCGCGGTGCCTTGGCAAGGAATGTTTGTTCACTTCTCTGGAAACTTCATGCAGAGGTTGGCATGCAGGTTAATTACTGCGGTGGTGACCTTCAGTGAACAGAGAGAGAAGCAGGCAGGCTTGACTTGTCAAAAAAACAGGAAATGTCCCAAAGAATGCCTTGAGTCATGGTCCGGAGTGTACTTTGCATTTGAGTCAGTTGTTCTGTTCTGGGTTGAAAGCATTTAATTCCTGTCCATAGGAAGAAACAGTCATCTTAATAAAATTAGAGATGAGAGCAGGGGGAGGTAGGTGATGTGCAGAAAGGGAAAAGAGCTTCCCGTGACTTCATCTGATGTTTAGCACCTGCAATTTAGACCTTTAAAAAAAAAAAAAAGTGGTGGAATTTTTGGAATAGTTGAATAATACAAATATGTGACTGGCTGCTGCTAAGAAAGAAATTTATTTCCTTTTGTTTTTTGGCTGACATATTTATGTGGGAATAGACTTTCAATAGCATATAATGTACACACATTTTGATAAAAATGAGAGCCTCCTTTTTAGAAGGGGCTGAGCTGGGTTTCTCCAGAAGGGGAGGAGCTAATGTTAGCAATGTAATCTTTACTTACTAGGGAGCTAGGAGGCACAGCGGTTGAACACATGGGCTGTAGAATCAGACTGGTTCTGAGTTAGAGTGTTTCTGCCTGGCTCTGTGATCTTGGGCAAATTACCTAACCATCCTGGGCTCGTTTTGCTCATCTGCAGATTGGGGATAAGTTACCTCTTGGGCTTGCTGGCAAGGTTCAATGAAATGACATATGTGCAGGGTTTAGCACAGGCCTGGCTGAGAGAGAAGGTACCCCCTAGAAGGTAGCCCCCTTGGCACCAGTGCAAGTGCGGGGGGATGGGAGGCAGCCACAGTTTCCACTGGAACAGTCCCACCTGGTCTGCGGTCACCTGGCACTTGCAGGCATTCGGCCGGTTCCCTTTGTTCTCAATACACAATGGAATCATGTGCTCAGGAACACGTATGAGAAGTTAATGCACAACTTGGCTTTCCTTGGGGGATTATGAACCTCTTGAAGTTACAAAGCCCAATGTCTAACACCCTCTTTACTAAATGGCTTGTATCAGCCAAATGAAGCTTGGCTTAGCTTGGCAGTCACGGCTTCACAGGGTGACCATAACCTTCCCACACAGCCTGGTTGCCTCTGCTCGTTTCCACGTCCCGTTGGTTCCAGCCACTTGGGCTGTGTTATGTCCCCAGACATGACCTGTGCTCTCTCCCCTGTGGCTGACCCACCCACCCCATTGCCCCCACCTGGAGTGACCTTTTCATCCCAGCTCCACGTTTTCAACTCATCCTTGTCTTTCAATCCGCATCTTGGCCTCTGCTTCCTCTGTGAGACCTTATCTGGTGCCCCCAGCTTGAAGTCATCTCCCCTTTTCAGGTGTATCCCCTCTGATGGCAGCTGCAGCCTTTTCCTGTATCAGTCCCCTGTGGCCACATCTCCCTCCTTGGTGGAGCACCCGAGGGCAGGAAGTGTATCTTGGGTATCTTTGTATCCCCCACAGTATCCAGCTCAGTGCCTGGCCAGTGATATTTCAAATATATGTATTAGATAGAAGAATGAGAAAACTCACTAATGTTTGTGGAAGAACTCACTTAGTGGACCATTTGCATGGGCTGAGCTATGAGGTCCCTTTGCCTGACCGGGGCAGGCATTATTTCCATTATCCCCCTCTCTGACAGGAGGAAGCTCCAACATGAGAATGAAGTAGGCAAGAACATGGTGGGTTTTTGCTGTTTGCTGAAAACATGTGTCAAGATACCTTTGGCTCTTCTATTCAATAGCCCGTGAACTCCATATGTGGAATGTTTGGAGACCAAGAACTATCTTGTACTCTTCTGTTTCCCCAGTTCCCAGCACATAGTAGGCGCTTAATAAATGCTTGAAGATGAATGAATGAACAAGTGACGCTCCCTTTTTCACACCCCTCAACTGCTGACTCTGGAACAGTCCTGCCCCTACTGGGGGAAGGGGCAGGGGGATCCGTAGTAGTGGCTCACCACCAAGACCCCTGTGCAACATTTCATATAAGTGCCGATTCCCAGGTCAGTAACCAGGCTTGGGATTCAACTCAAGTGAGCAAATACTGGCTATTTCCACAGCCTCTCTGGAGCCCTTGTCCCTGTCTTAGCTCCCTGCCTGGAATCTTGGGGACTTGGAGACCGAAATTTTGCTTCAGTACCATCCTTCAGGGACCCAAGTCCTGCCTCAAGCCCCTGTGCCCAATTCCTGTAAAATACTTGCTGCTTTCTCCTTGCTTTACTTACTTGCTGTGACCTCTTGCAATTTCCCATCTTTTCTCTCGAAGGTCTGCTGTGGTCCCAGGGTGCAGATTCACTCTTTCCTGACTCAGTTCTCCAACCACCCAGCCCTGGTTGTGGCAGCAAGGGTGGTGGTGAGCTGAAGGGAAAGGAATGGTACCATTTCATGCTTGTACAAGGCAAGAATTCCTAACTTTTGTGAAGGCCACAAACTCATTTGAGAATCTGATGAGATCAATAAACCATCTTCCCAGAAAAACTTACAGATGTCACATTGTGTGTTGGAGCAAATAGCCTTAGAGAGTCTCAGGATACTCTCAAACCTGACCTTGGACATTCCTGTGGCCATTGCTCAGGATGCCAGGCCCATCACACATCTTATGTTTATGCGTTTTCTTTATCCAGTGCTTCTGACAGCTTCCAGTGAGGCACTGTGGTGCGGTGGTGGACACCACTCGGGGTTTGGAGCCAAGGAGACAAAGGTTCAGATTCTGGTTCTCTCTCTCTCTCTCTTTTTTTTTTTGTTAGCTGTGTGACCTTAGGCAAGTTAACCAGCTTCTCTCAATGCTTTGTCTGTAAAATGGGGATGAGAATGTTAACGTTGCAAGGTTGCTGTAAGGATTTAGAGACGCTGCAGTAGAATGCACATCCGGGCGCTTGTAGATGGTTGTTTAGAGGGAGCTGCTACCGTTGTGGAAAGAAGCCATCTGTCCAGCTCTGTCAGTTTAAACTTCTCTTGGCTCCTCTTTCTCTCAAGAGTACTTGCTTATACTGTAACCACAGAGGAAAATTGAGAGGTTTCCATCAGATGGCAGGAGGGGTGAGTGGGGCCAAATGGCAGTGTGGGAGGGGACAGTTCAGCTTCTCGGGGGTATTGGAATCAGATCCGTGGAGGGGCTCTGTAGGCCACCTAGAAAGACCACAGTTAGAACTGATCGGTGCAGGTCCAGGCATGAGCCAATGAGCAGAGTCATGCTGAAGTCTAGAAAGGGAAGCCAGCTGGGCTCTGGGAGCCACTCAAGTGGAAAAGTTAATGCTTAGCAGAGTGAGGGTGGTGATTCATGGCTTTACTATGCTGAGGTCTTGGAAGAATGAGGTGGTTAGTCCCACAGCTGGCGTGTGCTGGGAGCCTTAGCTATATGACATTCCACTGAACAAAACCCACTACCTTCTCCGTTGCACTGCAGTAGAGGGGAACTGGGGACAGTTCCAAGTGTGGCCACCAAAGAGAGGCTGCCTGGTGGGTTTAAAAGCTATCCCTGCCACTTACTAACTTGGTCACTTTGAGTATGTCACTTCTCAGTTTCCTTAGCTCCAAAAGGGGGGATGAAAATTATACATATCTCCTAGGGTTTTTAAAGAGATTAGATATTGTAAGATCATAGAAAATATATACGTTGGTCTCCACCCCCTCCCCCCCCCCATTTCCTGGCACTGAGCTAAAACCCTTATAAATTCCTAGGTGATAGCAGTAGGAGCATCTTTTGTTCTAATGAGGTGACTCTGGGTGGGCTCCTGGATGGTTCCTGGATGGAGACTGGTCACCAGGAAGACCAAGCCATGATGAGAAGCTTGGAATTTCGGTCCCACTCACACTCCTCTAGACTGGAGAAAGGGGCTGGAAGTAGAGTTAATAATTGATCTTGCCTGTGTGAGGAAGCCTCCATAAAAATCCCAAAAGAATGGGGTTTTGAGAGCTTCCAGATGGGTGAACACATCCATGTACCAGGAGGTTGAGGCATTCTAACTCCATGGGGACAGAAGCTCCTGTGCCCAGGACCCTCCCAGACCTTACCTTACATATCTCTTCATCTGGCAGTTCATCTGTACCCTCCATCACCTCCTTTAATAAACTGGTAAATATAAATAACTGTTTTCCTGAGTTCTATGAGCCGCTCTGGCAACTTCATTGAGCCCGATGAGGGAGTTGTGGGAACCTCAGATTTATAGCCTGCTAGGTCAGAAGCTCCTGGACTTGCTATTGTCATCTGAACCCTTAACCTGTGGGATCTGATGCTGTCTTCAGGTAGATAGTGTCAGCATTGAGTTAAATTGTAAAACACCCACCTGGAGTCACAGAAAATTGCTCAGTGGGAGAGTCCCCACCGTACTTCTGGTGTCACAAGAGTTGTGAATGTTCTTTGTGATGGTAAAGGAGACACACAGAAGGAAAACTGTTTTGTTTTGGTTTTTTCCCCTGAAAACAGATGAGCTCATGCTTACAAAGCATTTTGTACTCAAACACTAGCTTTTATTTTGGTAAGTAGATTATTTTGGCAACAGATGCCCCTGCTCTTTGGACTTCTCTAAGGAAACTTTAAGTACTAGCTGGATTAGCATTTATTATTATTATTAACATTTATTCATCCAGGAAGGGGACATAACATTTATTCATCATAAATAAAATAAATAACATAAATAACATTTATTCATCCAGTCTCAGATACAGAGAAAGAAAACCTGTATCTTCAGGAAAGGTGAGCCATGAGTAAGGGAGACCCTACATTCTCTGCAGGTCCTAGAAAGTGTTCGTCTACTAATTACCTTGTGCCAAGGCCTCTGGTAGGGAGTCCAGCTCAGTCTTAAAGCTGTGGGGTGTTACCACATGCAGAGATGGCATGGGCTTCAGAGTGGAAACTGCAGGTTATATAGGACCCAGTGCCAAGTATTAGCTCAGAAGAATTAGCTAAGCATTTCTTAGCTCCTTTGAATTTCAGTAGCCGCGTCTCTAAAATGGCAACACCTGCTCGTCAAAGGTTAGCTTTGTTGCCTTCTTTCTGCAACAAGCTGGAGACACAGAGGCCCTGGGTAACTAACCTTGGTCTGTGGGAGCTAGTGAGGGAGAGACAGGGGATCACAACATTGCCCATGATTTTGAGTCCCTCATTCCCTAACATCTTGTAGATCTGGGCATGGGAGAAGCATTTAGGCCAAAAAAAAAAAGCCATTCAGTTTGGAAAACTTTGACCCAGGTAACCCCGACTCTAGGCAAATGAGTGGGAAAATGTGGGCACACAGTTGGCCCTCAGGGGAACACTCATTGAATGAGTGAATGTTCATGTTCTGGGAATATTTTTAATTAATTGATATCTCTTATTTTTATTTGCAGATGAGAAAAAGAAAACAAAGAAAGTTGACAATGAACTCAACCCATTCTGGAATGAGGTAACTTCATTTTTTTTTTAACATTGTTTCAATGGATAAGTTATATCTGATTGTCCTATCTTCGGTCAAGGGTTAGCTTTTCCCTTTGGAAGAAGAATCTCTGCATTGTACCCCCACCCTGCCATCTCCCTTTGTGGCCATGGAGACAGCAGAACCATTCAAGGAGGCGTGCCACGATGACGTCTCCTTATAGTAGTGCAGTGAGCGAAGCCAGGGCAGGGAGTGTGAGGGCTGGGTTCTAACCTGGAGCAGCCTTGAGCTTGCTGAGTGACGGTGGTCCAGTTATGTTGCATGTCGGGGGTGCATATGTAGGGCAAGGGGTGGGATTAGATCATCTCCGGAGTCCCAGAGAGAAAGCTCCATATTTAAAAACCTATCTGCATGTGACTAATCAAGAGCCACATTTATTGCTTTTTCTGTTTTGATAAAGTAATACATCCTTAATGTAGACATTTTGAAAGCTTCAGATCAACATAAAAAAATTGACCTTTGCACCCACCCACTATCCAGAACCAACTACTGTTAACATCTGGGATATATCAATAAATGTTTATTGAATAGATATATTTAATAAAATATGATGTCTTGAAATTAGCAAAGTAGCACCATATAGCACATATGGCTTTCTATCCTATTTTTTCTTACTATTAGATCCTGAGCGTATACTATATCATTCCATTCAGAAGTATTTTTCAACTATGCAATATTCTGTAGAAGGGATATAATGTCATTTATTTACTTCCCCCACTGTTGACTTTATATACATTTTATAAACAGTTCAATGTTGAATATATTTATAGGTATGTGAAAATTTTAATTCTTTCCCCTGAGTAGATTTTCCTATGCTGACTAATTCTTTAAAAGATGATCATTCGTCCCATTGTTTTTTTCCAAAAGCCAATGAAACCTTCCTGGATAAGCACAGTGATAAATGTCTTTGTTATTTTCACTGAGCCACCAGGCTGTGAAGACTTCCCCTCCACCAACTGCAGATTTCTCCCCACCCCCACGACTAGTTTCAATGTCTCTGTAAGATAAAGACTTTATCTTTTCATTGAATGAGGTAAAGACAAAATACCTTTCTAATGCCTTTCTGGGAAGAAGAAAATTGAGAGGCAATTCTACCTCTTTGCAATTTCACTGGAACCCAGAACACAGCCCGATGGACTGCCAGCTCCATGAAAGCAAGAGGCCAGTCTGGTTGGGCCCCATGGGTACTATGGATCCTAGCACTTTGTACAGAGCTCCAAGAATAAAACAAATTGAAAAAAAAACATATGTATACATTTAATGCTTCAGGTTTTGAGTAGTCCTAACATGCTTCTTTATATTTGGTCAATCCATGTGGCCAATGGCAGAGAGATATATGGTCACGTGAGCAGACATGTCCTCTGCAGGGCATCACCCATCTCACCCTTTTGTTTCCAACGTGTATTTTTTTAAATTGCAAATGTATTTATCAAGTAAACTCCCCAATTGTAGTTTTGTAACTGAAATCTAACCCAAATGAAATGCCAACCCCAGACTCACTGGGGTTAGCATTCTAGAATGAGGTTTGACACATTCTCCATCTACTCCAAACCCATTACAAGGAGAATCAAATCATCAGTAGATGCTGCTTTATTTAATTCATATATTATATAATGGATCAAAGACATCACTGGTGTTACGTTGATTTTTTTTATGTTTGCCATTAGACAGCAGTTTATTGCATGAAGATGAAAGTCTCGTCTGACTACAAACTGATCATGGTGGACTTAAAATATTTTAAGAGCTGATGCATTTTAGAAAATTTTTTTTAGATTATTCATCTCTTTGGTAAAAATAATATGATTGGGAAGAGCAAGTAATTTAAAAACAACCAGTGAAGAAAGCATTCATTTTATTTTGTTCTTCTAACCCATTGTGGTGGGCACTAAGTAAATTCTCTGACTATGACATGGGTTTGGTGACTTGTCCATAGTCACAGAGCCTAGAAAATGGGAAGCCAGAAATCACCCCCAGGTCTTCTGAGGCTAAGTCTGGTTTGCCTTCCCATAGCCCTCAGTAGCCTTCAGGTTTGGAATTTGATGCCTTCTATCTAACTATAGAATTGAGTAAGTCAAAAGATTATCAGCAGTGAAGATAATGACCTGATGTTAGTATTGGTACATCTTATTATACTCCCTGATCCTGTTAACAACTTTTTTTTTTATAACCTTTCTGTGGACAGATTTTGGAGTTTGACTTGAGGGGTATACCACTGGACTTTTCATCTTCCCTTACAATTGTTGTGAAAGATTTTGAGACAATTGGACAAAATAAGTAAGTTGATTTCAACTATTTTTCTCATTTTACATATTATCTTACTATTGTTTATTTTGTTGAAGGAACATATTGTTAATAACATTTTTGTAATATTTTCAATATAATTGTGCATCAATTCCATCTCTCACCCCCCCCCCACCACAACCTTCTGAGCCAATGTCAGATGTGCTTAATTTCTCACAGTGCCTTTTCCCAAACTTCTGTACAGTAGTCCCCTCTTACCTGCGGTTTCAGTTACTCATGGTTAACTGAGGTCCGGAAGCAGATGATCCTCCTTCTGAAATATTATCAGAAGGTCAGTAGTAGCCTAACACTGCGTCACAATGCTTATGTCATTTTTTCACCTTACTTCATCTCATCACATAGGCATTTTGTCATCTCACATCATCACAAGAAGGATGAGTTACAATAAGGTATTTTGAGAGGGAGAGAAACCATATTCACATAACTTATTACAGTATATTGTTATAATTATTCTATTTTATTATTAGTTATTGTTGTTAATCTCTTACTATGTCTAATTTATAAAATAAACTTTATCATAGGTATGTATGTATGTATGTATGGGAAAAAGCATAGTGTATATAGGGTTTGGAACTATCTGTGGTTTTAGGCATCCACTAGGGGTTTTGGCACATATCCCTATGGAGAAAGGGTGGGGGGCTACTGTGTTCCTAAGAGTCTGCAAACACTAATCCACCATTAGTGTATACAATTTGGCACTTCCTGTGAATGCTATCTAACATTCCTGAAACATCTTTGTTAACTGCATATAGTCACTTCCTACCTCTGGTGGTTTATCTGAACTGTAGCTATATTAGATAGAAGCAAAATCATTTCTTCTTCTGATTATGTGTGACCATACTCATCTCATTCAAGTTCTACTTGCAGCCCCACTTCCATTTTAACATCTTATGGGCCTTTTAAACTCAACAGATGTAAGCCACATCCCTGTTACCCCTACCAGTTTCAAATGGGGAAGGGTCATTATGGTGCCCATGGTGGCATTGAGGGTTGTCCCCTGAGTAAAGCTGGGGAGCATCTGAAACAGGTCTCTGTGGGACACAATGACCCCAGTAAATTCACCCCAGTCCTTGATTTGGACTTTGGCCTTATAGCCTCAGAAACCAGTCTTAGGTTACCAATTCAAACTAACCAAGCTTACAAGAAACTAATGCTTAAAACCAGGTTACTTATTTGTTCATTTCCAGGGGAAATAAATGCCTGGTGGGAGGGCATCCTGATCAATGAATTCTCCTTTGTGTCATACTGCATGGAAAGCCAAATTACTGTATATCCTTGATTATAAGATGTCATTGACCATAAGATGTATTATTCAATTAATAACAGGTTTGGGGGTTACAA